CCATTCTCTATATAAAGCTATATTTTATTAATAAGTATAAACATACAAATTGGTTCAGATTGACTCTAACATGCAGCCAAGACAGAAATAACTGGAAACTATTTCATTTTGTAATGCCTTGGTAGAAATGATTTTACACTTCAGTAACTTGAAAAACAAGCTACTGTGACCAGAAAATGCTTTCTACCTTGCAACATGTGATCAGCAGATGAATGGAAGGCAGAGTGCAAAGGCAGGTAGCTCAAGATAAAAAAATCTCCTGACTGCATGCCCCTAATACCCAGAAGCTTGCCATCTGATAGAGAACTTGGACAGTAACATAAACCAAAGAGCTTAAGGCGCTTTTTTTGTGCTTTCATTTTATTTTTATTCAACTACTACTCTACACGTTGCTATTTAATTTCTGTGGCTCAAGGTTTTGCCCCTTTAAAAGACCAAAAGGTTCTCTCATCCTGAACTAATCTTATTCTTGAATGGCACTGGATTGAGTCCCCTTATTTCCCCTGGGTATACCAAGGGTAGTGACAGCTGATCCTTGCTTATACTGCCCAGTCAATTATTCTTATTTTCCTTCTGAAGCCCACAAAGACTGTTCAGGACTGAAAGCTCTCCCAGTGTGAGGGCACCTGCTAAGAAATTAATGCATGAGACAAAATGAGTGGGAGGAGGAAAGGGGCTGTAAGGCACCAAGTAGCTCACTGGAACCAGAGGCAACAGCTCAGCCCAGCTCCTGCATCTCTGCCCTGACTTGCAGCAAGTGAGGAAGTATTTCTCCAACCCAGCTTCACTACACATTTGGCTTTTCTTACCCAACAGCAGGGCAGAAGGTCACTGTATTGTTTTTATTTCGTCCACAGAGCAGCAGCTTGAGATTCAGCTCCAGATCACAACCAGAGTCTGAGGTCCTGCATTCATTCACCTGTACCAACTTGCTGTCACGTGTAAATACAGATGGACAACACCTGCCAGCTGCAGGTGAGGTCTCAGAGGGGACCTGCTGAGGCACTTTCAGCTGGTGTTGCATGACACAGCAATCTCTGAGAACAGCACAGAGGTTTGGCTGCCACAAGATCCTTCCTCACACCTCCCAGTCCATGTGCAAGGGAGAGCAGGAAAGAATGCAAAGGGGATGCAGCTTGAAAATTGAGAGCAAATGCTGTATGGACTGGTCCTAGAACTAACACACAAAAATCCCCAATGAAACAAAATCCCTACAAGCAAAGAGAAGCTGGGTCCAAATCACTTATAGCTCATGCTGAAATCAACCAAGTATGTCTTTACCAGTCTAAGTGAAAGAAAGCAAAACCCCTGGGTTCAGGCAGATGTCTTCAAGCTCTTAAAAGCAAAAGACTACCCCAAACAATATGTTAAGAAAAACAGAAAAGATGGATGGATTGTAAATAGAAGATTTTCCTTACCTGAAGATTCAGAGAAACTACATTACAGGAAGCAAAGCCCAGCCATACACACAGGTCCTGCTGCAAGCCTGGCTGCTCTGAGGGAAGAGCCAACCTGAGCCAAGGCTGATCTTAGGGACCAGAGCTTGGGGAGAGAGGGGAGGAGCCCCTCATCTTCCCAGTGAGGTCCCAGCAGGAGCAGAGGCTCCAACTGAAAAGCCCAGCTTTGGCAAACATGGGATGCACAGGCAGAGCAAAGCCCAAGCTGACAAACAGGCTCTCCCTCAGCTGCTGGCTGTTCATTCATGCTGGTGCCATCTGCTTCACTCCATCCTTGGAGGGCTCATGCACAAGGAGGAGCAGAGCCTGTGTGCCACCCTCCTGCTGAGGAGCACAGCAAAGGCAGGCTGCTCTGAGGGGAGAGGAGCCTGCCCCTTCCCCAAAACAACCTGTGTGGAAGGAACCAGGCTGCAGGGCAGGCAAGAGGCATGGACAGAAGTGAGGGAATGAGACCAGAAAAGAGCTGAGGAAAGCAGCCAGGTACTTGGTGACCCATCCAGGCTCAGCAGAAGGGAGCAAGGAGGCTGCAGAGCCAGGACTGAAGAGGGATTTCAGCATGGGCAGAACAACACCCATTATCCCAGCTGAAACCAGAGTGCTGCCCAAGCTGGATGGTGCTGACTGGTGTGTAGCCCCTGGGCCACTCGAGCAATCTTAGCAAGATGAGGGACCCCACATTGCTGCACCTCTGCAGGATGCACAGCCACTGCTTCCATGGACAACTCTTCTTTCTAAAAGTTATTCCCAGATTAAAACTACCCTGATACTAAATTACTTAGCATATTTGAGGCCCAGATTCCTGAAAAAAAATGTTTACTGTTTTCAGAGCTGTGTGGCTTCAAACAAGAAGACAAGCCAACCTTTGAGGCTGTCACCCAATGCAACACAGCCACAAGCTCTGGGACTGTCAGTGAACACATCTCACGTGGATTTGGGGATACCAATATTGGATCAGCCATCCCATCCCAGCACTGATGCCATCCTCTCACCCATTGTTGTTGGTAAAGCCTCAGCACAGGAATCAAGTGCTAGAGAACTTCATATATATGTGTGTGTACATATATATCCAGACACAGAGCACATAACTGTGAAACACCCCATCTGCTCACGTTACAACATTTTAAACACATGCAATTAACTGAACTGAAACGGCATAAGGATCACTCCGTGTCTTTTTCCCCAACTCCCACTATTTCCACCTTCCTCTCACCCTAACATATGGGAATGCCATATGAATTACTGAATGGATCATGCTAAAACTGGAGCCTGCAAAATCTATTTTTAACACAGATTATGGGGGGATATTGGCAGTCCGTGGTGCAGCATTGTTTGCCTTACAAGTTTGGTCTGTTACTACTTCTGGCAAGCCCCACTTCCAGCACTGACATCTCCAAACCCTTCCATATTTTTCCTTGGCGTTCTGAAATAAAACTCAGTTTCCATGAGAGTTCTTTGGTGGGAACTTTGCAGGAATAGCAGGTCAGGGGAGAGTTAGCACAGTGCAGTTTTTCCAGCCTGCTGCTGCCCTACTGCAGTAGTCACGAGATGCCCAGTTTTCCCTGTCACAGCTACCAAGGTATTTATTAATCCATCATGTAGGGCTGTTGCCCTGAGCTTTCATGAAATGTCATGGAGACACACAAATCATGTGCTGCCCCAGGAAACGGACAGAAAAGAGTCTATATGGGTTTGTATTGTCCTCTGGTACAACTGGGAAGGTATACAGCTTTTTCACCCACTCTTGAAAGCCCCCTCATCCCAAGGAGCTGAAAAACCAAGGTCAAAGTCTTAGCAGGAGAAATAATTGGAGCAACCTGATTTCTTTCTATGTTGATTATTAATCCTGATGCACAGCTAGGGAGACGTACATTACAGATCCATCAGCAGAAGGACACAAAAATGAAGAATCTCTTTACAAGGCCACAGCAAGTTTTACTAAGCACTTTAAAGCCAAGGCAGGTCAGGTCAGCCAGTTATTATTGCTCTGAGCAGCTCACACATCAGTGTCAGCATACATTACCTGAAATTGCAATGATTATCAAGAACACCATTTTCTCCTACCCTTGAAAATCAATCAAACCTCATCTTCACAGCCAAATGCACCATCAGCAATGCAGACTCAATCCAAAACCAGTATCAGATAAAAACCTTCAGGTGACATCACCAAGGACTTGAGGGAACACATGCCAAAATAAAGTGATTGTGGACAGTAACTACTTCATTCCTTTTAATCTGTACAGGCTCATCAGAATTGGGCTCCACTGGAAAGTTTTTCTTCTATTATGAATTTAACAAGTAAAAAAAATTTCACACATACACAGATGGATGCACAGTTTCTAACTGATTCCAGAAATTACATTCATATTTGTATATTAGATTTTACTTCAGAAAGCACAGGTGCTGCCTAGGCAAAATGGGATGCTGGGACCTTTCCAGCATTTCTAGCTGTGGCTGGAGACAAACAAGCCAGGGATTCACAGAGTTCCCAGTAGTTAAGGAAGGGAAGCTGGGTGCACTGAAGCAGCTTTAAAAACGTTTAACAAAGCAGAAACTGGAACTGATGTGTCATAAACTACTATCAACTACCATGAAACTGTTACTTCATTTTAATGTGCCACAAATCCAAGCCAGCCTCTTCAGGGTACCACCATTTCACACGCAGAGGCAGCTCAGAGTCTCACACTTAAAATACTTTCACATACTTCTTTTGCCCTCAATGAAAAAGAAATTCCCACTCATTTCTTCCTGGCTACTCTCTGCAGGACTGAAACTTCAAAAATGTTCTCATGCTTTTCCCTGTGACAGTGAAATTTGTTGGCAAGGCTGTGCTTTCTTGTGTATCAGGTTTCTACTCTTTACAGGCAAACTCCCTTTTCTCTTCATCACTCAGTACCAGAGATTTTATTTCATTTTTCCTGATGTAACCATAGATCAAGGGATCTGAAACATTTCAGAGCATGACTAGAATCTATCATGGATTAGGCACCCATGTAAAGGAACAGAGATCCTGTACTCCACAAATAAAGCCAGGTTCCTACTATTCCTTCCTCAGAAGAGATCAGGAGGAAGAAGTGGGCACCTATTCTTATGGTCAGTGTGGCCAAACTCAACTGGGAAAGAAGCCCAAGTTGAGACACAAGCACCAGAAAAAGCCAATAAGAAATTAAAGGTTCAAGAAGCAGTAGTGCTGGGGAGAGGCAGCTCAGCTTCAGTGACCAAGGCAGTGCCCTCACACGACAGCAGAGCCCTTGAACTGGTCAGCTGGAGCTCCCCCATCCCATATGTTCCTCTGGCTCAGAGAGTGATCCACTCTGCCTTCCCTTCAGCAGGGGGAAGACAGGGAGTGGGAAGAGGGCAAATTAATTCAGAAGCTCTTGGCAGGCATATAAGTAAAAAAATAAAGCCAGAAGTTATGTGGAGCAAGCCCTGTGCTGCCAAATGAAGTCACGTGTGGCATAGTTCTGATCTGAGTATATTTTTTTAAATCTTTATTGTTGTTGTTATTATTATTATTAGCATTTGGCAAAAGGAGACAGGAAATACCTTGCTGGTGATGTCTGCTCCCAGCACAAGTCAGTTTGGAAGGCTGAACAGCTTACCCTGAAAAAAAGGGAGAACCAACTATTTTCAGTCCCAGCCTAGACTGTTACTCACGTAAGCAGCATTGCAACAATTTTAGTTTTGTTTCTATTTTATAAGAGGCTATTACATGAGGAGAACAAACATTCCCAAGAATGTTCACATTTCTCCTCCTCTAAACTGGGCATAGTTTTGGGGAAGGGGAAATTTGCACACATATGCACTTGTAAAAGTTGAGTTCAATTTAACAGGAAAGAGCCTCAGTTCAGTTAAAAGCCTTATAAAGAAATGAACCCTGAAAGAATCCTGCCTTTCAGAGATGTTAACACAAAACCAGAATACACTGGCTCATCTGTGAAGTGAAATGCATGGTTCCACTGGAGGATACAAGTAACTCCCAGTCAAGCCAAGGGCTGACTGACTGACATGAAAGACTTGCTCCCTGCAGCAGCAGAACGTATGGTCTAACAGGAAATCAAATCTGGAAGGAACCTGTTTTTAACTCCTGGGCAAAGAAGTAGCTTAAGCATAAGGAGGTTGTAAAATTATGTTGCTTACAAAAGATAGGATCAGTTTAGAAATATATAGAGCATCAAATTCATAGAACACTAAGCAAGCCACCTACAAATCTCTTGCTTGAAGTGAAAGCCAAAAATACAGCTCTCTTCTCTGACAGAATACATCCCTCCATCTGTTTGCTGCTTCAGGTCAGATTAAATACTGCAGCTTCCTAGAAAGCTAAATAAACTTTACCTAAAGGGACCCTCAGAACACTGACATGTGACTCTGACTGCCTTTATTCCTTCTCTCCAGAGTTTGTAGCCACACAAGAGCCCTGTGCCACTGCTGAGAGACTTTCTACACTCCCTGAGGCAGCACCTCCTCACACCAGGCTGTCATGCCAAATACTCTATACCTCCATCATGTTATTGAAAAGCACTTGGATGCTTCTCATGGGTGGACCCCAGGACCAGATTCTTTTATTTCTGCAGGGCAAATTTTTTCTCAGAAGCCTGACTGCTGGTAGAAATAAGCTCTACACTTCACCCAGACACATCAGGGTCCCATTTGCACAATCACACACAAAGCAGCACCTCTGTGCTCTCAGTAGTACAAAGTGTGTCTAGAGTCAAACAACTTTTAATCCAACAGCCTGATGCCAACGTTGTGAGTCAACAAAACAAACTTTCAGGTAAATAAAATTACTGTGGATGTTTCATTCTCCTGCTGGTGGAAAATCAGGGCTCCAAGTCCTTGGCGTCAAAGCACAGGACTTCTGTCATCTCAAATGATGGAGAGTCCCTACAGCTGCTTGTACTGGTGTGTCTTTGACCCAGTCTGCATGGGACACCAGCATCCCCACTCATCATTTCATGTAAGCCAACATTCAATTTAACTCACTCATCTCTGCCTGCCCTGCCTTTTACCTCTATTTCTAACTACTACTGAAAGCTAATGGCTGTTTACATCACTGCCTAAAGAGTATTTCATAACACACTGGATTACTAAAAAAACAACCTCCATCTTCAAGAAGAGCATCAACATACCCATAGTTTTAAATGCAAAATTAATCTTAGTTAAGTAGGACTTTAGTAGATGAGAGCACTATAACAAAGGGGTAAGGAACATGACCTAAACTTGTTGAGGAAGATACCTGAAAGAGTTTCTTAAACACCCTGTACAAACAGCTGCTTCAGAAGCACATGTGTTTAAGAAATCAGTGTTTTTTTCAGAGATGGCATTATGTGCTTTACAAGGCTACATGTCCAAATTGGTTTTATGGACCAAAAAAAATTAGTCATTCACTTTTACACCACCATAAATTCATGACAGAAACACAGTTCTGGTAACCAGCCATTTATAAATTGCTCTTTCATATCTTGGCCTCACCTACCTGTTGTCTTATATGACAGAAAACACAGGTGTATGCTGTGTATGGAAGCAGGAACTGATAGATTTACAGCCATTATTAAACCAAATGAGAAGCCAGTGAAGGCACCAAGGGAATCTGACGTGACATAATATCAACCATATCTCATTTATCTCCTGTGGTTAGGATAAAGATAAAATTACTGCAGCTATGCAGTTCTTCAAGAAGAAATAGGGCAAGAGAAGCCACAACAGAGCAGCAGCTGAGCACAAGTTGATTGATGATACCAGTAACCCTTCAACACGTACTGCCACAATCTGGTGTCAGCCCACCAAATTACTCAGGAGCACTTGCTAAATAAATGTGAATCACTTTGTTGCAGCAGCCTTTTTCACTTGACACTCAGGTGTGACAGCTGCACCAGCATGCTTGCTCACCCAGGACACACACACTTCTTTCACTCACAGAAGGTTTTGAGGTTTGCTCTCAAAGCCCAGACTGCCACAAGCTCACAGTGATGCAGCCACAGCCATACACACATGCACCAGCAGCCTTCATCCCATAAAAGTCACCACCATAAAAATCATAGTGTGGTGGCCCTGTGATTCCCTCTGCTGTGTCCCCAGAGCCCTGCATAGGACCACGAGAACTGTATGTGAAATTCACATAGAAAAAGTAAACTACTACGGAGTACAAAGTAGCTTGTTTGCTTGAGTAGTGCTACATTGTCACACAGGATACTTCCTGTTACATCACTATCCTGTACCTCTCTAGCAGAGTGAGGTATGTCCATATAAAAAAGCCCCATAAATATCAAAAGGATTGCAGCAAAATTCCTAATGCCCAAGTCCAGGCTGGTTTGCTGTGTTGCAGAAGGGCTGTACTCCTCTCAGAGAAAGACAAGGCTCTCAATGGTGAACAAGTGCTCCTTTACCTTCACTTCCATGCCCACCAAAGGCTGTGCCAGGCTGCAGGACAAGCAGCAGGATCATCACTGCTCACAGCACTCTGGGATGGTGCAAAGCACCACATTTCTTCCTGAACTGAATGCAGCTCTTGCCTTTTTTCAACTCTTCCACCTCTCACTGCCTCTCTAAGCCAAAAGATAAAAACTTCACTTTGACAGAACTGCAGGGAAATACAAGGACACAAGCATGTTATTCACAATCCAGAAAATCTGTTTTCTGAATTAGAAGCACCCAAAGGCTGAATTCTCCAAGGCAGCTCGCTCAGAGCACTTGATGTGGCCAAGAATAAAGCTGACAGGGCAGAAAAACCCCTCAGATTTCCAATCAATTGCTGAACCACTGAACCGAGTACAGCTGAGGATGGGACTCCAGAACATTTCTAGACACATTTTGATTTCACTGGTGCTTCAGCAGCACCCCCTCCCCACCTGTGTCCCACAGCTGGAGCTCTGCTCAGCACAGCTGCCAAGGCCAGGGCAGCCCTCCCATGACCACCACAGACCAAGAGCCATTTCTCTGGGAGGATTATCTAGAGTTCATTCCCTTTCGCTATCCAGTTTGCTGCAGCAATAAAAACAGCTCTACTTCAACAGAGCAAGAGCTATGCAGAAAGCCCAAATTAACATAAATTCAGATAATAGCAGAGATTAAAGTATCATATTCAAATATTCACAAGATTAGTGTGCACAACAGAACACATGCAGCGGACATGAAAAACAGGTCATTACTGCATTAAAAATCTAAATAGTATTGGAAGAACTTTCCATCAGTAAGGACAATAAATCAAAAGTTAAGCACCATTCTATGCCATTCTATGCACTGCATCTCTGAACTACAGCCAAGGGACTGGGGAACAAGCTCTAACTCCTGGCTTGTTTAACCACCTTCTTTAACCCAGCCAAATCATTTTATTTGCAACTTTGGCAGCTCCCAACACAGCTGCTTCTCCCTTCCATTGCTGTGATTTTCAATTTAATACGTCATCATTTTGTCCTGCTACATTCCCTCTATGCTAATATCCTGCTTCCATGGGCAGCACAGAGCACGTCTGCTGGATGTAACCTTCCACTTTGCAAGATGTGCACCACTTTATGCACACTGCAGGAAGTTTTAATTCAGGAGCAATCCCATGAACATCTTCTAGGCACTAGCTGGGTTGTTTGGTGGGAAAAAGCAGCTAGGAGAACATCAAAAAAGTCTATATATGATTTTTCTCATTTCTTCAAGGAGTGGGATGGTGTTAGCTGAAGTCCTGTCTGCCCTGCAGCGCCTGTCTGCAGTAGAAGGGCTGGAGGCAGCTCTGTGCCAGTGTCACCCCAGCAGGCAGCAGAAAGGCCACACCAACACGTGGCTCCGAGCTGGGAGGGCACAGATGCCCTTGGGATGGTGGGGAAGAAGCAGCACTTTGTTTTCCCAGGGCCACCAGAGTGGCTGCAGCATCTCCATGAGAGATCCCAGCTGGGGACACGTTCCACGGCGCCGTCTGTCCCCGTGTGATAGCTCCTTACATAAGGCACTGCCCCGACACACAGAGGAGCCCTTTAACACACTGGCATCCTATCCAGCCCTTTCCCAGTAAGGAGTTTAATGAGGGCTGTTTCCAGTAAGGTTAGGAGGAAAATAGTTCTCTTTTTTATCTGTACAAGCACAGAAAATAATTGAGCAGAGTACAGAGGGGTGGGCAGGAGGGAAAGGAAATGCAGGGCCCTTTTCTTCCACTTGCATTTAACTTTGAGCCTTGGAAATACTGGGGTAAATACTTGAGTTCAAGGGATACACAGTATCTGAACAGAAAAAAAACATGAAAAGGAAGTGCAAGAATAAAAACATCCATAAACTTTCAGTTCTTTTCCTTGTTTATTTATTTGGGTTTTGCTACTCCTGCCCCCCAAATCAAAGAGAAACTGCAATGAAGCTGAAACATTTTGATCATTCATAGAATTTGTCTTTCCTGAAATGTCTCACATTGAACCAGTCAGACCAATGTGAGAAACATTCCTGTAGGGAGTGTGGAGTTATGATTTGCTCAATGAGGAATGACTTGATTTGCCTTCTACACATCAAGGCTTGGCACAGCTTACATGTCTCACCAGCAGTACTAAAAACCCAGCTATACAACCACGAATAAGCTCATATTGCTGCTCAGTTGTTCTGCAGAAGTGTTTGCATCTTGGAATTTTAAG